GGATTCCTGGAGGGAGTGGCAGGCAGGTGGTCCCAGGTGTCTGCTCATGGATTCACAAGGCCCAGACTTGAACCTGATTGCCTAGCCAACCAGCTCCCTGCCCTTGAAGCTTAACCTCCTGAGCTGCTGCTTCCCCATTTGTGAATTAAGGCTAATGTACAGACCTCAGAGGGCTGTTGTGTGGGTTAAATGAAAGCACCGCAGGGCCTCAGCAGGACACAGATGGCATAGTCCAGCGGGGTGATCAGAGGAATTTTTCAGAAAGGGGCCGGCGGGTTTAAGGAACCCTAAGGACATCGCAGCACCCCAGCGCCGGAACAGGAGTGCAGGGAGACAGCGGTTATGAAAACCAGAGTAGAGAGGACTTGGGGAAACTGCCGCCTCTCAGGGGTGACCCTGAAGGGGAGTCTGGAGGAAATGGTGCCTTAGCCTCTCTCCTCCCTCCCCCCAGTCTCTGGCCACGGCTCCCCATAGGCCTGATCCAATGAGGAGCCAGAGGGAAGGGAGCCCACTGACCGAGGCCCCAAGCCCAGCTCCCAGTTAATGGCACAGGGTGGAAAAGGGTGCAGGACGAATCTGGAGGGCAAATGGAAGATTCCAGCACAGCCCCTGGCACATAGTAGGCATCCATCTGTTTTTATTTATTTAAAAAAAATTTTTTTAATGTTTATTTATTTTTGAGACAGAGACAGAGCATGAATGGGGGAGGGTCAGAGAGAGAGGAAGACACAGAATCCGAAGCAGGCTCCAGGCTCTGAGCCATCAGCACAGAGCCCGATGCGGGGCTTGAACTCACGAACCGTGAGATCATGACCTAAGCTGAAGTCAGAGGCTCAACCGACTGAGCCACCCAGGCACCTCATCCATGTGTTTTTAAAATATTCTCATTTTAGGGGCGCCTGGGTGGCTCAGTCGGTTGAGCGTCCGACTTCGGCTCAGGTCATGATCTCACAACTCGTGAGTTCAAGCCCCACGTCGGGCTCTGGGCTGATGACTCGGAGCCTGGAGCCTGCTTCTGATTCTGTGTCTCCCTCTCTCTCTGCCCCTAACCCACTCGCATTCTGTCTCTGTATCTCTCAAAAATAAATAAACATTAGAAAAAATTAAAAATAAAATAAAATATTCTCATTTTAAATGAAATATTGAACACGTAGAGAGCACCCATTGTGCCCACTATCCATATTTAACAGAAATTAGCATTTAGCCATATTTTATATTTTTCTTAAGTAAAATAACACTACAGATAGAGCAGAAATCCCTCTTACCCTATCCTTCCTCTTTCTTCCCCATAGAGGTATCTACTCTCCCGAGACCAATTTATGTTATTCCTGTGCAGGGTTTTTCTATTATACTGTTGTTTTGTATGTGTTACGGTGTTTACAAAACTGGCGTCATGCCTCAGTGTAAGCATTGTTTTGCACCTTGCACTTTTCCACTGAGCTTATGCTTCTAGGACGTGAGCTGTATGGATACGTATAAATTCAGTTTAAATTCAGTTTCTTCGCTGTTTTCTGCTCTGTAGAATTTGTTGGGTGAATAGACCACAGCTCATTTATCCATTTCCCTCCTGAGGGGCATGTAGACTTTTTGCTGTTATACACAATGCTACATAGAGCATCCTCATAAATGTGTCACCTTGTGCGTATGCTACGTGCAGGGGTTTCCTGGGGGAAATCTGGGGGATACCTAGAACCGGAGTCGCCTGGTCACAAAGGCATCGCATCTTCACCTTCACTCGCCAGGCTAATAGCCTTCCAAATATTTGGCATTTTCCCACATTTTCCCACATCCTGGCCACCACTTGATGTTGTTGGGCTAATTAATTTTTGACAACCTACTAAGGTAAGAACATTTTTTTCTCACCGTTACTATACAATTTGCATTCCCATGATCACCGGTGAGGTTAAGCATCTCTCCTTGTAGTTATTGGTCACGTGGGGTTTTCCTCTTTTGTGAATTTCCCGTTTGTGTCCTTTACCCATTTTCTCTATGTGGTTTGCCTCTTTCTTACTGATATTTGAAGTTCTTTATATATCTCAACACGAATCCTTTGCTGGGGGTGTGGGTGACACGATCCCTCCTCCCAGAGTACAACTTGCCTTTTAACATTGATTTTGCTGACTTTCATTTGTTTGTTTTGGTGCAGAAATGTTTAATTTTAATGCAGTCAATTCAGTTTTGTTTTGTTTTTTTGTACTTTAGGTCTTATGCTTTTTGTTTCTTTCCCCAAGGTCATCGACATCGTCTCTTATGTTTTTTTCCCCGAGTAGTTTCACATTTTTGCTTTTTTACATTCATGGTGTGAATCCGCTTGTGTAACATAAGGTGGGAGGACCCCAATTTCGTCTTTCTCCCCACGGAGCCCGATGGTTCTAGCGCCATGTACTGAAAAGACCCTCCCTGCCCCACTGACCCACCATCATGAAGCGAGTCCGGGCTCTCCCTTCTAATTTACCGAACTGTTTCTCCGTCTCTGCCCCAACACCAAACTGGGTGCGTTCCTACCATTTTGTGTGTTGTTCTGATATCTGGTAGGGCAAGGCCTGTACTGCCCTTCTTGACAACTGTCCTGGCGACTTCTTCCCTTTATTCTTCCATCAGGACGTTAAGACCAGCTTAAGTGACCAGGCAGTGGTCAGGCAGCATTGAACACCACACCGCTGGCAGTTTCGAGCTCAGAATTGATGTGCCCAGCTTTTCATTTTTTCAAACACTCACGAAGCTGTACAGGGGTTGGATTTCAGAGGATCCGTCAGGAGGTAGAAGAAGGTCGTGTGGGGACCCAGCCCACGTGGTGACAGGAGAGATGGGTATGGAGGGGATGTGCAGAATCTAGGGGCCTCGGTGATCATGTCTGGCAAGTAAAGAGGGGGTAAGAAGAGGAGAGGCCGGTCACCGTCCGGGAGAAACCAAGACGACCCCACACTCCAGGCCAGATGACTGAGTGTCCATGGTTGGAGATACAGGAGGAGGATCCGGGTGTGACCTTCACGGAGCAGAACTCAGGGTACCTTAGGAATGTTCAGACAGAAGCATCCTGGGTGTATTGGTCTCGGGTTCAGAAAAGAGGGCTGTGGGACAAATTTAAGAGCCAAAACCAGACCCAAAGAGGGAAGACTGCGTAGAAAACACCAACACGAGAGCCAGGTGGAGGATAAGGAGCCCACAGAGGAGACAGAGTGACAGTGACCAAGAGGCACAGGGAGAGGCAGGAGTGAGACAGCACAGACAGCCGGGACGCAAGGTGTTGCGAGGAGTGGCCACTGGCACCGGATGCGGCAGGCTGTAGGGAGAAGGTGTGAGGGCAGAGGCAGAGCTACGAGGAGCACGGTCCTCTGAGGAAATGCGACTGGCCAGGAGGAACACGGGGCCAAGGGCCTGTATTCCACAGAAAACGGGAGACGACGATGTATTTAAAGGCTGTGGAAGGGGCCGGAAAGAAAGGAGGTGATTGTGTGAATGCTCAGAGGGAACAGGCAGGACCGCGGAGGAGAGGAGTGCCCGAGCCCCAGGCCCTACAGGGAGGCACGTGTGGATGGAGCACATGTGACAGTTGCAAGGCTGGAGCTGGCAGCCACAGTTTTCTCGTGGAGGTGGAGAGTGGTGTCTCTCGAAAGGGAGGGGGCTTGAGGAGAGAGGGATCGGTGGTGGGGCGCGGGGATCTGAGGGAGGAGGTGTGTGTGCACGGTGGGGGTGTGGAGGGGAGGCAGGGGTGAGAACCCAACAGCTGGGAGCCGGAAGCCCGCGCTCCGGGTGATGTGAGTTCCCGCCTCATGAACCTTCCGGAGGGCCGGAAGGGACCTAGACTTCCTGTGGTGACAGGCTGGGAACAGGGCTCATTAGTTTGGACTTTATGAGGATGATCCAAGCATGCTGGAGAACCAGGGAACCCTTCGGTCCCTTGTGCACCTATGGCGTCTTGGGGTGGAAGATCTGAAGCCTTGGGTGGACCTCGGGCCTCACAGGCTCTCCAGAAAAGTGTCTCCACGTGTGCGTTTGATATGGTCGAGCTCCTTTGTGGAAGCCCTGGTTCCTATGTCCAGTGTTTGTCCCAGGCAGCTGTGGCTAGGCTAGCACCTGCGGTCACCTCTCTTAAAGTTGTCTCTTCCCAAGCCACAGAAATGAAAGTACAATAGTGGTCGGGGCCACGGCCCTCAAAATCTAGCCACGGACATGAAGGATTCTGCCTCAGTCTCCGCATCCGGCACTCAGTGTGGTTGGTGGCCCTGGCCCCCGGCTCTCATGACCTTCCAGTGACCCCGTGCATAGGGCTGAGAAGGACATGGTAACAGTTGTCAGAATGAAACAAGTAGAAGTGCCACCTGTGAAATTCTAGGTACATGACCTTATGACCTCCCAGCCACCTGCAAGGTGAGTTAAGTTACTCCCACTTTTCAGATGAGGAACCCGAGGCTCAGGGAACAAGTTAAGTAACCTGTCCAAGGTCACCAGGCAGTAACTGATAGGCCTGGGGTCTCAACCCCTGCCTCCCTAGCCCTGCCCTACCTCGGTAAATCCCCCGCCTCCTCTGAGAAGCCCTCCTTCCATTTTTGGTTGAGTGAACAGGCAGAGAAGGACACAGGGCCAGGTCACTGGACTTGGACTCAGAAGATGGGCCGTGAAGTCCCAATTCTGTCGCCCAACTGGGTGGCCCTGGATAAGTGTTGCCACGGGGAAACCAGGCCAGGCTGCCTGTCCCCACATCCACCCCATCTCCATCCGCACATTCTCCCTCCCCCGTGTTAGCCGGTGGCACTGCCTGGTCAGGGGGCACCATGCAGAGCAGGACGCTGGGCACTTTAACAGTCGGTTCAGAGGCTCGCTATACTGCCAGTGAGGGCTCATTGTCTCCCGAGTAGAAAGCCACCAGGCCTGTGTGAACCTGGCCCCACTACAGCAGCCAGGCCAGGTACCTGACCCCTCCCGGAGCCACCTCCTCTGGGCTTCCCCAGGCCAGCTTCACCCCCACCCCCATCACTCTCTCTCTCTCCTGTTCACAGGCCCCTCCACTGGCTCCAGTTCCGCGAGGTTCAGCCGGCGGCCCACCTGTCCCGACGCGTCTGTTGCTGGCAGCCTCCCCACACCCCCTGTCCCGAGACACCGGAAGAGCCACAGCCTGGGAAACAAGTGGGTGACTGAGCGAGCCCCCCCCCCCCCCACCGTGGGCTCCAGGGCTGCTGGGACTGCTTGGCTACTGGGAGCCGCCTTGTCCATCTGATGCGTGCTCTTGGTATCCCTGGCTGACGGCCTCTCCTCAGGCTGGCACAGGCTCGGGGAGAGCCGGGGAGGGGCGGGGGAGCGGTCCCGGCTGCGGCAGCACGGCCTGTGTCCTGGTGACCGGTATCACTGGCTCAGGAGCCAATGGAGGAGGCATACAGGGAAGTGCAGGGCAGCAATGGTTGGATTCCAGAAAGTTTGCCAAGCTCAGTTAGTGCCTCCCTTGCGGAAAGCTCCAGAGCCCAGTGGAGACCGTGACTGTCATCCAGAGCATCACTCAGTGTCTCAAGGCATCTGCCTGCGTTGGGGCTCAGAGTCTCTGCTTGCCCATTGCTTCAGAAAGCCTGCAGAGCAGTGAACCTGCCACTGGTTCACCCAGCCCTGTGGGACTGACAGCTTGGGGACATGTATGGACCTCAGTGTGGCTGGGGGCAGCCATGCCCATGTCCCCAGGGTATTGGGCACAGGCCCTTGAACCAGTTGGATCCCTCCTCCCTCAGTTCTTTCCTCCCTCCATCCCTCCCTTCCTTCCTTTCTTCCACCACCAAAACACGAGCCTCGGCCAGCTCAGGCTGGCCCTGGAGTCACTCATAGGCTGGAGGGGAAAAGGGTTGCTGTCTGAGGGTTTAGTGCTTGCTCCGTGTTAGATACTCTGCTACATGCCTGCCAAGCATTATGTCACTGAGCCCCTACAGGCCTCCGAGGTAGGGGCTGTATCATATACATTGTAAGATGAGTCCTATGAGGTTCAATGGGGTGAAGCACCTTGCAATGGTGAGTAAGGTTGGAACAAGGATTTGGACCAGACGTGTGACTCCAGAACCAGGCATGCTGCCCACAGGGCCACTCTGCCCCTTCACTTGTGTGGCGCCATGGTTCACAAGCACGATCCACTCACATGAGCCTTACAATCGTCCTGAGAAACAGGCAGGGCAAGTATCCATAGTCCCCATTTGACAGATGGAGAAACTGAGGCTCAGAGAAAGGATGTGACTTGCCCAAGGTCACGCCATGAGATAGGGCCGAGCCTGGACTTGCACCGTGGTTCTGGGTGGCTGCCTTTTTCCTCCGGCTGCACCATCTGCTCAGGACCCCAGGGCAGGTATACTCACTGTGACTCCACAGATAAGGAGCTCTGCCTTCTTTCTTCCTTTCCGTTTTCCAGTATGATGTGTCAGTTGAGTGTAGTTGAGAGTAAAAGTGCGACATTCCCATCGGAGAAAGCGAGACACCTGCTGGACGACAGTGTCCTAGAGTCTCGCAGCCCCCGCAGGGGCCTCGCCCTCACCTCCTCCTCTGCCGTCACCAATGGACTCTCCCTAGGTAAGCGTCTCCGGCCTGCACACGACAGTGCGGTGTGTGCTCCGTGTCTGTCTCTGTCACTGTGCAGCGCCCGGTGGCCCCTCACCCTCTGCAGAAAGGGCTCCCCTACAGGAGTCGCCAGAGCCAGGAGGGCTTTGCTTCCCCATCTCCAGGGCTTCACAAAGTGACCTGGGTTTGTCCTCGTCCTGCCGGTAGCCCTGAGCGCGGCAGGCAGGTGGAAGGAAGCCGGACGCACACCTGAGACCCGCTGTCATTGGTTGGCCACTGTGAGAGCCTGGCCGCGGCCCCAGCGGGGCTTCTGTCCTGGGGGAGCCACAAGGCCCAGCGTGCAGAGCCAAGCGGGGGGAGCTGCCGGGGACAGCAGCTGGGTGGGCCACCGGGTTCTCTCACTCGTGTACTTGTCTTCACACTGAGAAGCCAGAGTTAGGGAGGATGAAAAATTGATCTTCGGGGATAAAATTGCATGTCTGAGCTTCAGCCAAAAATGGTACTTATGTCAGCGGAAGGAACAGAGAACTGCCGAGGCTGGGGTGGAGAGAGGTTGGAGGCAGAGCCGAGGACACTGTTGAGCTCTGGTCACAGGCCTGTCACCCTGCGGTGCCCAGGTCACCTGTCATTACTACCATCAGACAAGTACTGTCACTGGCTGTGTCCTTTCAGTGTGCCTGTGCTTCCGTAGTCTGTGTGTCTGCGTGTCTGTCTGGGAGTCCTCCCAGGGCTGGGGGTGGCTTAGTTGCCGGGCTGGGGGTTTGATCCGGTGTGGTCTGCAGGGTGGGGGGCCCATGAGCACTGGGAGGAAGGGGGAGGAAGGGGGAGGAAGGGGAAGGGCGGGAATCACCTGTCACACGTCCCAGTCTCTGAGGCAGTGTCCCTACAGGGGCAGTCATCTCCCACCCCCCGGAAGGGCTGTGACGAGCAAAGTCGGCACCTGCCTTCTCACCTGGTGGGAAGTTATCCTAATTGGACCCAGTCAGGGCTTTACAACAGCTTAGGACAGTGCAGGCTGTGGTTTGTAGGTGTCAGTGTATTGGGGAGAATTCTGGAGTCAGTATGTTCAGGAAAGGCTGGGCTGCACCAGGTAAGCAGATCCGTTCTGAGAGACTAGAGTATGCTGATGAGCATTATGGATCTCTCCAGAAAGGCAGTAGAGTCTGCAGGTCCCCACAGCCTGGTCATGGAACCCTTTCCTCGGAACGTCTTGGAACAGGATGGGGGTGAAGTTCTGAGGAACCATTTTGGGAAGTGCCAGACCCAGAGCATTCAGCTGGGCAGCTGAGTTTTCCATCCAGGAAAACTTTCTGAGCTGTGCCTGTAACCCCCAGGCCTTGCTATTCCTGAGACAGAAAAGGGACTCAGGCACAGTGCTGTCCGGTATCCAGGCAGATCACCAGGCGGTTGGTCCTCAGCCCCTCTTCTTGGGAAACTCAGATATCTTTCTGTCTGGAGCCGAAAGCCCCGGGAGTGAACTGCGATGTGCGCATGTGCCCTGTCTGGAGACCTTTCCACCCGGTGACTCCCAAGGGGCCCGAGACCTCCTCCCTCCTCCTCTCCGGCTGGCCCGCCTTAGTGCCAGCAGGCAGCCCAGGCAGAGAGCTGAGCCGAGGCACCTCCGGGTCCTGAGAGAGCTCACAGAGGCATTCGGCGGTGTGCAGTGACAGGTGTCCTTGTGGCTGGAGCCGGGCCTTGGAGAGCCGGTGTCCCGGTCCACCCCAGAGGAGCAGCCTGGGGGAGGTGGAGCCCGTCTCTGGTGTATGCTGGCCAGGAGGTGAAGGGGCGCTCCCTGGAGGCTTCTGTCTAACGCCAGGCAGCTTCTCTGTGACCATTTGGGAGGAAGGAGGTGCTCATTTGGCCCCTGTCCTCACTAGGTGAGGCTTGTTCTAGCACTGGTGTCACTTGGGCCAGGAGGGAGGCGGTGATGGGGCCAGGCCAGGCCAACACAGAGGCCGAGGGAGACAGAGCCTGGGGGGCCGGTGGGCAGGTAGCTGCCGCCTTCAGCGGGGCAGAGGGAAGGGAGTGGAGGGCCTACCGGGAACGGCGGGAGGGGCTGGTTCTTTGACGCTCCCAGGAGAGGGAGTCAGAAATAGCAGCAAAGCCCCAAGTCATACGGAGGCCCACAGGGTCAGAAAGCTGTTCGTCTGGCACTTCTGTGGAGCTCAGGGGGCCTGGGCCTGCTGACCCAGGAGAACAGACTCCTCCGGGGTTGGCCGCTCTTCCGCGAGGCCGCCACGCTCATTGATCTGTGTTCCTTTTCCAGGCAGTAGTGAGAGCTCAGAGTTTAGTGAAGAGATGTCTTCAGGGCTGGAAAGGTGAGTGTGGCCTCAGCTCGGCCTCCCTCCCAGGGCGGCGCTCAGGGCTCCGGGCAGGGACCAGCCCCCACCCCCTCCGCCCCTCACTGGCTGCTCCTTGGGTCAGCTCGGGGCCCAGGGGCAGGCCCCCTCGGCGTGGGAGGTAGAAGAGCAGGATGGGCAGGGGGCGGGGGTCCCGGCCCCATGCTCTGAGCAGCCCCACTCATCTTCCGGTCCAGAGCTAGCCCAGGCGCCTGAGGCCAGTAGCTCTTCCTCAGGCCGAGCTGCAGGGGAGAACCTGCGAGCAGATTTGGTCTGAAATGTGGGTTCTTAAAACCAGACTCCTGAGATGGGCCTGGTGTGGAGATGGGCCCGTGGCTCCGCCTGGTGGGGTCTGAGAGTGTTACACCCGCAAGGCCTCGGCTTTGGGCTGACACCCGCCCCGCTGGGCACTGGTGACAGCCAGTGGATCCCAGCCCCGGGTTTGGCTCCCTGTGGTGAGCCCTTCTGCCCCAGGAGTGGGGCCTCCTGCTCGGGAAGCCACTCACCCCACACGCTGATGCTTTCTCTGCCGGGCACCAGGGTGGCCCCGGGAAGACAGAGATCCTGAGTGGGGAGCTCCCACGGCGGCGGCTCCCCCGGAAGTGAGGGGCGTCGTGGTGACTGGAGGTCTGAGGGGATGGCAGGGAGAAATCCACTGACACCGAATGCTACAGAGAGGCAGGTCCACACCGTCCTTCACAGTAGCCCCTCCACCAGCGTGCGGGGGCCCGTGCGCACAGAGGGACACACACACGCCCACACTTATACACACAGTCTCCCACATGCGTGCGCACACACGTGCATCCATACATGTGCTCTCGCATGTGTGGGTATATGTACACGTGTACGGTCACACACAGCTCACACACACACACACACACACACACACCTCACACGCTCCTCACTCCTCATTCCTCCGGGGGGTGCTGACGCCTCCTGTCTCACCGGACCCCACAATCATAAAATGGCCAGAGAGGAGGAGGTGAACCCACCCAGCGAGTCCTCACAGGGCAGAGAGACGTAAGTGATAAGCCAGGAGTGACTTCCGTTGAGCATTCCCTGTGGGTCAGACGCTGTCTCGGCCCCACCGAATCCTCAAGCATTTCTGCACGGTGGTTATCCGTAGTGTCCCCATTTTACACCTGTGGCCAGCAAGGCTCAGGGAGGTGAAGTGACTTGTCCTGCTTCCCGCTCCTCTGGTAGGGCAGAGCCGGCCCAGGTCCGCATCCTCCTGACCGCCGAGCCCACCTCTTCACTGCTATGCTCCCGGCCTGGTCCAGAGGGCCACTGTGACAGCTACAGGGACTGGCCCCACGTCAGTCAGTCGGTTGGTCAGTCCATCTGTCCTTGGGAAACCCTGGACGGAAGGCCACCAGCCCTCGGAACCTGCCCCCTCTGCCCTTGCTGTGGGACCTCTGGAGGGATGTTTGCTCTGTTCTTGCTTGGGTCGCTCGGGCGAATGGTCCCCGCTGCCCTCACCCTGAGGCCGGCCCTGCAGTGGAGATGAGAACCAGACAGGGTCTAGGGCAGACTCCACATCTGATGAGCAAAATTTTGGCTTTTGTCAACATCAGTCAGGGGACTCCTAGGGAGACCCTGAGGAAGGGGGCTTACAGGCAAGCCAGTGTCCCCTGGCCACAGGCCAGTGAGGGGACACCGAGTGGGGAATGCAGTCATGGTGCCAGGATCCTGAATATCATCCAGACTTGAACTTATTCACTGGTTCGTTCGTTCCCTCATTCACTCACTTATTCATTCATTGAGTAGCTGTTTATTAAGCCACTGCATCCTGCCAGGCACCCTGCTAGTCACTGAGGGCAGCAGGTGTGGATCCTAAGGAGCACCCATGACCCAGACTGGAGCCACCAGGAGGGAAGACAGTGAGAGAATTCCTGCCCCGGGAGAGGATGCTGTACTTAATCAGTAGCGAACCCTGTAAGGCGCAGCATTTCTCTTTTTTCTCTTTCACTTAGAATTTGGCATTCTATTTCCCATCCATCATAATGTTCGTAGTAGGTGCTTTGGGGGCAGGACCTCCAGCAAGCGCCGGTCTCCCAGCTGGCTCAACCAGGCAGATGCCCAGGCCTGGGAGCCCGCAGGGAGAACGTCCTGTTTCTCATTCTCTGGGGACCCAGCTCTGGGATCCTAGCCCGATGAAGGAGACAGGAGACCACTTGCTTTGGAAGGTGCCTGTGGGGCTGGGATGAGCCCTCCAGCGTGAGACCCACGCTGCGCCCTGGCCTCCACCTCCTGTGGCCTGGCCTCCAGTCTGCTTTTCCATCCTGCACTAGCCTCTTTCCACGTCCACCGGAAAGAATCCGCTCCCTCAAATGCACGCGAGCATTTTAGACTTTGGTGAAGACCCGGATGGCAGAGCTGGAGGGGAGAGTCTGTCTCACGCTCTTTGAAAATCTTCATCAAACGCCACTCTTTTCCACACAGTTCAGTGGCCACAGTTCACTTTGCCACCGGGCCTCCCTTCTTCCTAACCTTCACCCACACCGTGCTCAGCCCCACTGGGTCCTCCCTTCACCCCCAGGCCACTTTGCTCCAGCTCTACAAAGGTGAGCAGATTCTCTCTTTCCCTGGAAGCCGGGGCCACGCTGCCTGGGCCCAGAGGCCGGTGTCTTCCCTAAAAGAACCTCCAGAACACTTTTCGGCTAAGTGGAGCTCCCCTTCTCGGAGACCCCACCAGTCCTGGCAGGTGTTGTAAGGACACAGCCTCCTCTACATCTTTGCACTCACGTGGGCCGAATCCACCTCGGAACCACAGCCAATGGTGCAGGAGAGGGCTGGCCCCGCGCAGAGGAATGGGGTGTGAGAGAGGAAGGGCGCCTGGCTTCTCCAGTCCCCAGAGGCCAGGCCGGGGCAGGGGCAGTACTTTGCCCCTCAGCCCTGAAGCTCAGCGGCCACAACTTTCACCTGCTTTGTCCACCAGGCCCCTGGCCCTGGTGGCAAGCTTGACCCAGGCCAGGAAGAGAAGTGGAGCCAAACACCAGCATGAAGGACAGGGAGGTCCCAGGCCAGCGGCCCCTCACCACCAGCACACACCCCTCAATTGGTTTAGAGGCACATTTTAAGCACCCTTTATGCCACCGTGGACAGGCAGCCAGCAGGGTTCCTGTTGCCTGACCGAGCGTGGGTTCGTTTGGCCTTGTCTTGCAACTTTGCCTTCCCTGAGATCACACACGTGGACATTTCAGCCTGGTGGCCCAGAGGCCGTCCTCGAGTGGCAGCCAGAGCCCAGGCAGCACCCAGCGCTATCCTCAAGCGGCCAGCATTGAAGAGCATCCATGGTGGAGCCCGCAAGAGTCCTGGGGACCCTGTGCACTGCTCTCTGTGGGGGTGGGCCAGGCGGAGGGATGGCGCCCCCGATGACCCTGTTCTTGCTAGGACTGTGGAGCCAGGGCAGAGGGGGTGAAGGGGACTTCCCGCTGCTGCTCCCATCCTGCTGTCCCTGCATCTGCCTTCGCAAGGTCACAGGGCCTGGGGGCCGAGGAGGGGTGGGAACAGACCAGCCGTGAGGTGGCCAGACCAGAGAGGGGCTAGTTTGGCTGTTCTAAAGACCCTCCCCTATTTGGGGGGCCCGGAACAACCAGAGGCCGGAGTCCCTGCAGAGGGGAGTGAGGATGGGCCCCCTCTTCTCTTAAGACTCTACCTCCTGTCCCAACCTGCAGTTTTCTGGCCTCAATGTCCTGGGCTGAGGACAAAAATGGAAGGAGGGCCCCAGATCACACTTTGCTTTCCCAAGGAAAGAAGGCAGGTGGCCCCAAAAAGGCATTTTCAACATGTACATAATTAACTGGAAAGTAGGGACTATGGACTAGCCCTAGGCTAGCTTTGAGCAAACCCCAGGCCTCTCAGAAATTCAAAAGGGTAGGGAATATTTTCGTCAGGCCCAGCAGTAAGAACTAAGAGGTGCTTCTTTTTATGCCTGATTTGGCAGTAAAGTAAGAATAAGAATATGAGCCTAAGAGTTGACAATTTTAGATGAAGTTTTTTAAAAGAGGAACAAAATGGGTGATAGAGGTTATGTGTACGTACAAAAACACGTAATGTCCCTCATCTTGGTTCTCTCTGAGTCCTAGGGTCATCGAATGAATATCTTTCCTTCATTTTTTCCCTCTCCAGATCTGCCACAGTGGGTACATGCCTTTTTTACACCCTGAAAAAAACTAACATTTAACTTAAAAAAAAAAAAAAAGATACAATCAGAAACATCTACTGATTGGTTTTGAAGACGTAACATGTGAAAAGTATGGCACAAAGTCATCGCGAACCCCTCGGCCATCTGTCTTCTCTAGTCCCACATTGGCAGTGTGTGGAAAGGGTGCTCTCGTGTGAGAGGCGGGCCAGATGTTTTTTGAGTTTGAGTTGCCGTACTTTGATGCTTTTATGAGTTTCACTCAGTGTGTCCCTCTTGCCACAGGGGGTGGAAAGACGAGGAGGCAGAGGGGTCCTTGGGGGTCATAAGAGGAGAGTGTGACAGCCTCTCGGGGGCAGAGCTGTTTCTCCTTCCCAGGAAGGTGATGGATAGAGGGGAGCTAGTCAGAGCTTAGAGTCCAGCAGGGTGACCCAAGGCAGACTGCGGGGTCAGGGGTGGTTTCCGGTAGAGGCGATGGTTAAGCAGAAGCCCCAGAACTTTGGTGAAGAGGACCACAGTGGGCCCTCGAGAGGGGTGGTGGGATCGGAGGAGGCTGCGAGGCCTGACTCGTGCCAGGATGAGAAAGGAGGTGGCCCAGGGACGCTTGGTATGTCTCTTAAGAGTCACTGCGGGAGAGGTGGGCTCCATGATGCATCCTGGTCTCTGAAGTTCTTAGCGTACCTCTGCATTGAAAGATCATGATCTGGCTTCCAGACACTGCCAGCAGCGCCGGGAGGGGCCTGAGATCAGGACTGCTTGCTCTCAGTGACCTTGGGCATGGCTCTCAACCTCTGGGCCTGAGGAGCCTCAGCTCTACAGCGAGGATACTCACAGG